GATCGTGTAAACCGACCCACGTCTCGCCATGACAATTTAAGGTCCTTTCCACTTCGAGATTAGCTTTCCTGACCCTGGTCCCCTTGCTATGTTACCTATCCGTTCTCTACACTTTACCGAATTCCCCAATAGAAAAGGCTCCCACGTTCTTCTCTACTGTTCCACCTTTTTTGTGTCTGACATTTGTTTCTTTTCTACGTTTCTTATTGCCTCCCTCCTCTGTTTTCTTAACTTTGTTGCCGTCCACTTTTGTTCTTGTGGCCAGGTTTTATTATGCATTGGAAGTCGTGGCTTTTTACCATACATAAGCAGGAAAGCACACACCTCACTTGTACTGGTTACAGGCTCCGGAAGTTACAACATTGAAATTTTTAAAATGTATCCGAATAAAAATCATAAGTTTCCACTATATAGATTAATAGCTCTTAATTTTCTGTATATTTCCCACTAACTTAGGTGGTTAGGAAACGTTGAGTGCATTAAACAATCTAAGTATTTCAGCTTGACTATTCCTACTGCTCAGTCGTTAGTTTAGAGTTCAAATAACGAAATATTAACATTAAAATAGCTTTTAAGCAATTTGCATGCATCACTTAAATATAATCAGTTATTGATAAATCTTGAACTCTATATTCGGTTTCTAAGCTATTCTCGTAACCCCCAAGCTAGAACTACACAGCGACCTGAAGACGAGAGAAAAGCCGCAAACTATGCGAGAAGCACTTTACTCGAAAGGTTCGTTTTAGTGCAGAAAATATAAAGTTTTTGTAATATTTTAGATGTCATTGCGTTTCCCGAGAATTCTATTATGCTACTAAACGTAGTAGCAGCATAATAATCAGCCAATTAGAAACTCGACATGTGAGTTTTCACTTTCTTGATGTTTCTGGTCAAACTTCTAATGAACTCTGATTGGATAAAATGCCTCTTAGTGTTTCCTGAGCCTTTCTTGTCTTTTGCGAGAAGTTTTCTGGATCACCCCAACAGTTATCATGTAAATCTTGTTTCTAAATAAAAGATCACTGCCTTTTGTATGAGAATTTCTATTCTTTTTTACTTAAGAAATCATTTCAATATTTCAATCTGATTGACTTTTTAATCCTGACATACATTATAAGCGAAGATAGATGGCGGCTTGTAGTGGATTCTAGGACGTGTGTTTCGTCCCATTTGGGACTCATCAGACTGATTAATCGCAGTCCTAAACAACAATTGGAAGACAAGCAAACAATACCAAGTGGATTCTGACATACATTAGTACAGTTTTTCTTTAAAATATCATCAGTAATCACCTTTATGTACAACTGGAATGTAAGATGATGGTTGGCGGTAGTCAACAGGAAACCCTGGACCTGGGTTTCATGCTACTTGGCACCCGTCAGCAAGGCGTACCTGTAATCTTGAGTGGATTGGTGCACCCTGACGGATCTGATCTCGTGTCCTTCAGTTTCACAGTTAGAGTCAGTTGTAAATACAACTAGAATGTATTAAGTTTCGAGATTTCAAATGTAGAGTTTCATTTAAAGATCCAATCAGTTTATTCTGTTGATATGGGATTAAATGAAGTATTAAAAAATTACCAAAAAAACAACGATAATAACCGCAGAAAAATGTATTCATTATTTGCTGTTATATATGAAAACAGTCACAGCTTATTTATCCCATATAACACCGAAGAAACTTATCCTATTATTTATTGTGAATGCTGCAATATAACTTGTAGTGTGAGTTACCATGTTAAACCTACATAACTTATTCTAGCTTCTGGACAGGTTAATTTATCCATGCTTATTGAGTTACGTTTTAACCTTGTTAAGTGAATACTTACCAATCCTTATTTATTTATTTAAACATATAAACATTGGTACAAGTAGGCACCAAATAGATATGTGCCATATAAATCATTTGATTTATGTGAGGGTTGGGATGCTGCACGGGTGCCCAAACCGATGCAGGTGGTTTTCTTAGAACCTAAAGGTCTAATCCACAAGGCAGTAGGGCAATGTGAGGAGTTGCAGTCCCATGGTAGCCAGTGAACAACGATCAGTTCATGTGCCATTTGTTCCCACAGGATACTGGAGCCCATATACACCATTAGTTTCGAATCAGTGTTTTCCAACTCCCCTAAGTGGATCTTCCATATAAAACAACCCGGTTAAAGCGCCGGCTATTCGCTTTTCATCCTCTCAATTTGGTAAACAACAGTAATGCCGCGAGAAGGTAGTGAGTAGGACTTTCTTGGCAGTGGTTGTATACACGTGTCCACGTGAGAGCATTTGGAGAGGTAGAGCTGACTCTCCCCACTCTCGGCCTTAACAGGGCATTTGGGGAGCTATCAATCCTGGTTCATTTTATAGCAGCGTACGTGTGTTCATTTACTTATCCTATTCACCACATGTTTGTAGCTTATTTTTGTGTGACTACCAATATTGATTAACGGTTGATTAAATCAAGTTGGCTCACACACCTTCTCCATTGAGCGTCATTTCGCTTCATTCTCTCCTCTTCTCTTCGTTTCTTCGCTCGTTTGTCTAGATCAATGATTGTATGAAACACGCGTATTCAAAATTCATTCTCATATTTAGCTTATCTAATTCCGTTATTCATTAACACGATTTAAACTGATCATCATATACAAGGATTGGTGATATGTATATTTCAATAACAATCATTCATACACTCTAATTGGATTCAGATAACGGGCTATTAAAAACTCTACTATTTTATCACTAATTTCTATATAAGCTAGAAAAAAGTATTTTAAAACAATTAATCTCTTTGATAAGTTTCGATAATGGAATGATGAGACGAAGTTTAGCAGAGCTAATGTGATGCTATATTAGTGCAATACATTTCGAACAATCTGATCACACATATCCTTGTTAAGAACATTTATATATGAAAATTAAAAGGTCAACTGAACAGATTAAACGTAAGCCGTAACAAAGAAAAATAATAATAATAATAAAGTACACAAAAACAATGTGATAACCACTCTGGGTAATAAATCAGTATTACCAGTCGGACGCGTATTTCATCCTATTTGGGACTCAACATCTGGATGTACCTGCATCTGAGAGTTGATATTCACTTTGAGGATTCCATTGCTAGCCACTAACCATCTTTGCTTAGAATGCTTGTGAATTAAGGTAATCTCGACGCAATACAAAGAGTATGCACATATGCCAATAAGAGATTGATCAATTGTAGACCAAAATATCAATGGGAAGATTCAAACAAACAATACAAAAATGAATTTACACAAATATAGTTTATATTATTGTTAAGAAAAGATACTCCATGTTAACATTACTGACTATTTCAAAATTGTAGGCAATAAAACAGAAATAAACATAGTAACATTCAGTTAATTGTTTTAACACTGAACATGGATGGTAATAAGATTTTTCGAAAGTATTAGCTTTTTATAAAATTGTACAAATAAATTAGCACCTAAGTGTGACCTTGTTTATTAACCAAATAAACAGTTATACAAATAAACCCTGGTACAACTGAAACTGTGGCTATTAGGACTCAGTAGCTAAGTGGATAATATGATGACATTTAAAGTGAACTTTACTGGGTTCGAGTGTCGGAGTGAACATCAACTCTGAGATGCAGGTACATCCAGTTGACGAGTCCCAAATAAGACGAAACACGCGTCAAACTGGATTACATTGCTACCCATTATCCATCTCTGAATAATCTTTTACGAAATCATATCAATCTTCAATCCTGACTTATTACTCCATCTCACTTTATTGATTTGATGTAACAATCTGAACTACTAAAAAAAAGAAAATGTATCAGGTTTGTTATGTCCCGATAAGAATAATGAATAGTAACTTTTGTGATCCATTTCTGAACCAATACTATGCGTATATTTTTATTGTATAATGCGCAAATAACTAAACTATACATATTAATGTCCCTCTTATTATGACTTATGAATTATTATTATACGATTTACCACTCTTGAATTATGCCCTGTCTATTATTAATACCTTCCCCATTCACAGCCACATTTGACTAACTCATGTACAAATGTTGTTTCCTATTTTATTGGTACGGTGTGGTCTGTCTGGTTGGTACATAAACCGAGTATGTTTGAAATAAATGATTCACATTGTAGAGGCTGAGATTAGTGTTCTGGACTCACCAGGCGGACAGGGCTAGTCAGGAAGCTAGACCAATAATTACTGCTCGCATGGGTTTTATGCGTGATTGGTCCGATCGATAATCCACTGCTTTTCAATTGGCCGTATCATCATGTTATACATTAGCAGGGCACTCATGTCACAAGTTATAACGAATATAAATCTTCGAATGGAATTATTATTTTTTAGTTTTAATTTCATTATTTTTCTTAGTTCAAATCCATTACACAATTTTAGTTCATTTAAACGAATACATCTATGAAAAGTATTAATCATTAATAGACTTTTTCTCTTTTTCTTTCACTTATCGCCCTACATCATATTTTTAGTTTAATATTCAATTAAACATTCTCTACAACCCTATACTGATAACTGCCATATTCTCACTAGTGACTAGCTTCGTGACCAAATTCTCGGAATTCTAATGAGAAGCCGTGACCAGTAGAGCTAATCCGTGTCGGGTAGAGACAGGAATCTACCTCAATACGATGGAAGATGGTCACTCGGTTTCGTGGATTGATTGAGATTAGAAATTAACACCGTAGAATATCGGACAGCTTAGTGATCTAGAGGTTAAGCGTACGCGCGCAAGACTGAAGGCCCTGTGTTCGACTCACGCGAGCGGGATCGTATATGCACACTGTTGAGGAGTCCCAGAATACGACGAAACATCCGTTCAGTGTTTGCAGCTTTTCAATGGTGATCTAACATCAATCAGTTCATGATCCCAATCAAAAACGTAATGATCTTTACAATCCTATACTGTTGATTAACATATTGTTTGTAATATAAATCTTTCAATAAAATTATTTTTTTTAAATTTTATTATTTTTCTAATTTCAGATCTATTGCACAATATCGTGTAAACAGTCAACAGCAAAACAAAATTTTTAGTTCATTTAAACCAACACATCTATGAAAAATACGAATCATGAATACACTTTTTCTCTTTTTTTCTCTCTCTTTTACTTATCACCTTACAACAACAACAACAACGAAAGAAGAAACAAATTAAATATTTCGTGAGACTATAATTTATAAACGAATCAATCACACATCAGATAACAGGTCTCAGATTTTGGCGCGAAATTTATTTTTCCATTTGACTAAATAGAGTTTCAGCATTATAACTGATGTCAGTTTGTGATGAAAACCTTAAATCTAAATTTCTAATCCTAACCATCAATTATAAATCATAATTCGAATTCTTTACACTAATTTATAACCACCATCATTTGGTCTTAGTTACCATGTGGACACTCTCAAAATCAGTCTATCATCACTTAAAGGATTTCCATAAATTATAGTTTTATCAAATATTCTAATAGACTATCAATATTCTTCATATTCTTATGAATAAAATAAAACTCCAAATTTATTTCTATTTTTTTTTGTCTTCTTTAAGAAAAAAAAGAGAAAAGAATAAAAGAAAAAAGAATAAAAAAAGCAAAAAGAAAAGAATTTTATGTTTACATTAATGATATAACTTTCAAATGATTATTATTTTGAAAGAAAAACAAACAAATAAACAATGAATTATAAGTATTCATTAGTTCAATTTAAATCTGTATCCATAATGAATGACCTTGAGAAATTAGAAATATTTAAAATTTGAATTTATTATTAGTTTAATTATTTCAAATTTTGTTTAAGTTTTATTTTCAATTTTCATTATTGTATATTATAATTCTTTAAATTATGAGATTGCTTTATACCTTTCTTTCTTTACTATCTATCTATCTATCCTTATATACAATCATTCATTTATATATTACTATGATCATTGAAGTAACTATTTCTATGAATTCGATGTTTATCTTATTTGTATTAATGAAGTAATGAGGTAACTTGGATCAATGGATATATGGGCTTGATCCTATATTGTAATTTATTGACTGTATATTTATGTATAAGGAGAGAAAGAGAGGCGGGGGAGGGGGAAAACAAGAACAATCAACATTAGTTAGTGTTTATGTTTTTTCTTTTAACTAGTATATATATATATATATATATTTTCTCATTATGATATAAGTTGGAATAAATGTTTACAAGTTATGGGAATGATAAAAACATGAAACTAAAGTTTTAGGAGTTTTCTCCTTACCCCCCCCCCCTTGCTAATTATTTTTTAAAGAAATGTATTTAAGAAAAACATTGAATTTTGACTTAAACAAACTGATGATTGTTTATTTAATTGGAAGAATTAAAGTTAGTTTATAATGAATGTAATATACTTTGAATTTGTTCTCGTTTCTAAATGACAATTTGAAATGAAAGTTTAGTTATGAGTACTTCAGTGACTCTCCCAGTAAAGAAGCCTAAAGCACCGGCCAGTAACCCGAAAGTAATCAATATGATAACAGCGGCTATTCTGGCGGTTAAGGGTTGTAAGTGCATTTCACTCGCTACTATCAAGAAATACATAACCGTGAAGTACAAGTTTGATGTTGGAAAAAAACAGGCAGCATACATTCGCCATGCTATCGTACATGATGTTGAGAATAGTGCTTGTATACGAGTTGGGAATAAGAGAAAGAGTGAATCTGGTAACTTCAAAATAGCCGGAAAAAAGAGATTAAACAAAAGATATTTATTTAAATCTAGTTAATTAAATACATTACAAGATGAACACCGGATTCATAGGAGTAGTTAGGTTGATGGTAGTAATATATAAAAGAAAGATTGTATATAGGGATATAGTACAGGAAGAAAGATTTAGTACGTAGAAAGAAAGATATGAAGCGATTTTAACCTCTTAGTTTAAGGGAAGATAGAGAGTGTATACACCGACGCCATTGTGATAGATTCTGAGCCATGTTACCAAGAGTCTCCAACCATTAGTTACGATAGTCACGCGGACCCCAACCAAGTAGTCTGCATCTACCAACATGACTCAGACTAGAAGTTAGTGAGTTCAAGCACTGATGCCACGCTTTGGTTTGGGCATCCCTAACTTTCTTCAAACCATCCCCAACACTGGTTAGTATCGCATGTCTTGGTAATCGGTGTTCAGACAACACGTGGCCGAACCATCTCAGTCGATGAAGATTCACAACCTTATCAACTGATTTACCATCATTCCCTAATACCATGCGTCTAACCTAATTATTACTTACCCGGTGATCCCAGCAGATGCCAGCAATATTTCTAAGACATCTGTGATCAATTACCATGTTTCGCAGCCGTAAAGTACAACACAGAATAATACTATTTATCTCTAAGAGTGAATATAAGATAGTAAGTAGATTAGTGATTCAACAGCTTCAGTTTGAGTAAATGATTAATAACAATATTCCTTATACAAATAAGGAAACACAAAGTTGATAACATAAACTTATATTTAAAATAAAAGTAAACTTATTAAGATTAATAAAGCTTAAGAGTTCCATAACTAACTGCTCATCTATTATTTATCTAATTAGGTGATACATTTAAAACTCATTTAGAGAATAAAACAAGGTAGATAATGATGGAGTGATATTACCAGTCAAAAACATTAGAAAATACTAAGTAATATTTTAGGCAGGTTATTATATATTTATGAGACTTTATGCTTGAAATATCAATATCTTTGGATTATATAACTTTTGAGTAATATAAAGATAAATAATGGCTAGTAGTAGAATCTAGGACGAGCATTTCTTCCTGTTTGGGACTCGTCAGCTGAATTTGTGCTTCCATCTTAAAGGTTATATTTAAACTGGGACTCGAACCAAGTACCGTTCACCTCATTACATAAGTAAGTGACTATCAGGACCCAGTAGCTAAGTGGATAACGCGATTGCGTTTGAAAAAAACGGTGAGTAATAAGTAAATCATAGTGTTTTCAACATTTCGCAAATGATTTACGGAAGTATGACATTACTTAAGTTAACGGATAATTCCATTTGAGTGAACACGAAGATTGTGAAAATTTTTAATGTCATATACAATCTCCATGTACTTATGCCTATACAGTTTAATTTACATCAGATGTACTGTCAGCAGTCCTAGTAATCTTAAATTCGAACGCAAATCCAAGTAGCCCATTAAAACCAGCTGTAAAATTTTATTTCATTACAGTATTTTAACTACTATGTACTGTAATTTAAGTAGTAAATCTACTTGAAAACAAATTCTAGGTATTTTAACATGTGAATTTCACAAGAGAAACATTAAAAGAATAACTAGAAAACATATATCTAAAGATCTCTTATTTTATTGAACGGAAAACAGTCGGATTATTATTATTATTATCAGCTTTATTCAATATTATATTTTTGGTACAATATAGAATTCTCAGCGTAAAGTAATTCAACAAGTTTCCGTTTCTTTCTTCTTCGTCGGTCCTGGCGATAAATATTGAGTGATCGCCAGTTAGATGTTAGCAGTTCAGTAAATGAACATCTGAATAATGTGTATTCTTTCCGTTGTGTATTGCCAGCAACCACATTGTCTCTTATTGAGTTTTTTGTAACTTTGACAACGAAATGTTGTACACTTTTCAGAAACGCAGCAGAATAGGTTGTGCGATTAATAAACATAATGATATATTAAAACAAACAAAAATAGATAACTTGTTGAAATATCTAGATGGCAGGAACAGGTAGCCTAGATGATCAAGCAGGCCGCCGAATAGTGTTTAAATGAAACAGTGTAATCGAAACTGAGTGTGCTATATTTATTCATTTGAACACTGAAAAATTGACACAAAGGGGTACGAATACATATGCGTCACATAAGTCACTTCATTTGTGTGTGGGGTATGATACTGCCTGGGTGCTCAAACCGAAACAGGTGGTTTTCTTAGGGGGCTGCACACGAAGCCTTCAACCTGAAGGTCCAATCCACAAGGCAGTAGGACAATGTAAGGAGATGCAGTCCCATGGTAGCCAATGAACAATGATTGGTTCATATGCCATTTGTTCCCTCAAGATACTGGAGCCCATTAGTTTGCAATCAGTGTATTTCAACTCCCCTAGGTGGATCCTCCATATCAACCAACCCGGTTAAAGCGCCGGTCATCCGCTTTTCATCCTCTCAATTCGGTAAACAACAGCAATGCCGCGAGGTAGTGAGTAGGACTTTCTTGGCAGTGGCTGTATATACGTGTCCATGTGAGAGCATTTGCAGAGGGAGAACTGGCTCTTCCCACTCTCTGCCGTACCATGGTCGAATTAAAGTCTTCGAAATTACGTCAGAAAATGCTGTCAGTAAAGCAACGATCTAAAGTCTGAGACCATTTTTACGTGAGACAGTCACATGATAGTTGTAGTCAATTTACCACGTTTTAAAGATATCAAACAGGACAGCACTTTACTCATGTCCACTTTTACTAAAAATCCATCTCTACATCATTTTTGTTTTGACATCACGTCTCAAGGTCTAAATGTTTAACTTGAAGCATCCTGTCCCCAGATAATACAGTGCTTAGTTTGAGATACATGAAAAACGCAGTCGGTTTAAACGACCACGGTTGTATTGACTAAATGAGAACTCTATAAACGTATAACTACAGCGATCTACATTAAAAGCTGTACAGGAATTACTACAGTCATCTATATCAACGGATTATCCATCATAACATATTCTGAATCAATGGGGACAAGGATGGTAAGTGGAGTTTGGATTTGGAGTTATGATTGGAATGTGTAATCGATTTTACAAGATATTCTTTAATATACCTTAAATCTACCATAGTTGTAGTTCACTATTTTGGTGCAGCTCCTTTAAAAAAAAATACTGGAATTGTTATCATGAACATTTAAATAAACATTCAACACACTATTTCATGATATGGGAAATAACTTTATATGAACATCTATGTGCCTGTTAATTACTATCGTTGGAATAATCCAAGATGGATAGTGGCTAGCAGTGGAATCCAGAGCGCTGCTAGCCACTATACATCTTTGCTTAAAAAGCTTGTGAATTAAGGTTATATCGAGGCAATCCGTACAGGATGAACATATGCCAACATGAAACTGATCAACTGCAGTCTTAAATAACAATGGGAAGATACAAGTAAAACAACAAGTGAATTTATCATTGGAATAGTTTAGTAAAATATTTCATATCCAAGTACATTACTTATAAGTAGTTTAAATATAAATTTAGAAAATGTCACTAGTGAAATGTACCCATGAGTATCAGCAACGACAAACGTTTAATTCAAATGACAAAACATTAAAAAGTAGATTCTCAAACTAGATGGTTGCGCTGAAAATATTAATAGCCAACAAAAAGGAATTCTGAAAGGTTACTTTCATCATAAATCACAACTGGTTGTTACCGAAATGATTCCAATTCGTGATAAGGATTAACTTCCATATTCTGGTAGTAAAACACCATGAAAATGTCAGTCTTTCAATGATGTTAATCATCTTCATACATGGAATTTGATGTCTTGAATACGTTTAAAGGACGCTAACCCTGATACTTGCGTACAATGAATTATTTACTGATTTTGGAAGTAAGCATAAAATGTAAATAAATATATATTAAATTGCAAAACGAAAGATATTGGTTTGATACTAAGTTCTGTTGGTCCACAACAGACCACTGGATGAGCTCCTATGGATCATGCGACTCGAAACATTGAGACTTTATCAGATATTACCTAGAATAAAGTTAATAACGACAATGTTTTATTTTTCCAATAAGTAGTTCATAAAAGATGAGAATTTCATTTTAGTTACTTTCCTACAAGTTTTTTTTCACTAAATGCTATTCTTATTCGTTCACTACATGAGTAACATCCAGTTTTCTGATAGTCTGCTTCAAAGTATTTTTAATCTACACTATTTGATTGATGTTCTTTTGTAATTCGTTTTAGTAATAGGAAATGTTTGATTTCAGAGAAATTGTACTAATCTGAGGCCTACATTATCTTCATTGGTTATAAGTCATCAACAGTAGTAAGATCGCCGTTTGTGCGTCATGACTGGAAAAACCCAAACCCTTTGTCGAAACAATGTGTGGGACAACATTACTGATGGAATATTTTTAGTGACACAGTGTAATTACATCTTAATACTACCAATATGTAAATCACTGAGTATTCAGTTAATCTTGTTGTTATTAAACGATGTGATCCGCTTATTAAGTACACATTCGAGGAGAACCTTAGATATGATGGGTAATTACATTACGCCATCGCGTTATCCACTTAGCTACTGAGTCCTGATAGCTACTTGCATTTGAAGCGAACGGCACTGGGTTCGAGTCCTAGAGTGAACATCAACTCTCAGATGCAGGTACA